CGCGCTGATGCCTGTTGGTTCACTCACCAGCTGGCCATGGAGGCGATCAAAGATTGCAAATCCGACCCCATGATCACGTGGAGCTGAGACGGCGTTGCCCACCCAGTAGAATGTGTAGCCAGCACCTGCTTCATGCAACTTACCTTGCTCAGCAAGCCGGGTTTCACTGTGCGCCGCAATATCGATGTGGTAACGCGCCAGTTAGATCGCGACTAGTGCAGTGTGTCGCTCGGGGCGCTCACTAGAATTCCGGTCTAGTAATGTGCGCACGTTCCAGCACCCGATGCTGAGTGCTTTGCGCGCAGGCTTACGATTGCATTGGTGGACAATCGCACGCGAGGTGGCGGTTATGCTTCGGAGGTTTGCTTGAGGGACTCTACCCGGAGCCTTTGGCTCAATAGCCTGACCCACAAGGCAGTGGGTGGTTTGGAGGTTTGCTTGAGGGACTCCGCCCGAAGCCTTTAGCTCAATAATATGTAGTATTAACAGTCTAATAACTGGACACAGAGCCAGACTATACCATGGAAAGTAGCGGACGACAGGTACAGTCGTGGGATCATCAACAATATGGCACATTAGTTGAAGCTGAGCAACACACTTCAGCTATTGTGCCGCAAGAAGAACGGGATGTTTTTGTTATCATTTCATACGCAGTTTACTGTTTATACTTGAGGGCCTAATAATGCGGTCGATGTGGCACGTGTGCTTCATCATCGTTGCTGTTGGGTTGTAAGTATTCTTGTTGATTTTCTTGAATTTCTGGGATTAGCTATTGATAGATATCCCCGGTGTTACTGCATTTAATGTGAATGTTGGCAAGGTGCATACCTGTCCAAAAACCGCTACCTCAATTATAATGGTTCCAGGAGAGAGATTATCGTTGGCAGGGAGACGTAGTGCACGGTCCTCATGACCGTGCTAGGCTCAAAGTGTGGTTCCATACAGTGTGGCTCGGACTATGGCCTAGCCACAGCCTTGTGTACGTCTGGCATGCATGATTCCCCAATAGATCGCTGCTGTGCATGTTGAAGGAGTGTGAGCCAGATCCGTTGATGAAAAATGGTTCCCATCCACATGCCTTCCGGTCTTATTCCTTCGGGTTTACACTAGATATGGGGTGTGTGGATGCAGCTGTGGTGGTGCAGCGCAAGCCACCCATGGTGCCTGTGTGGGAACACGCGCCTGGTGGCTGTGCTATGGACGCCGCAGAGACAGGCAAACCTGGAATCGAATGCCGCCAAGCACACATGTATTTTCGTCTTGCAACCTCTGAGGCAGAGTTCGAGACCCTGCTCTGTAGAGTTAGCTAATCAGACATTCTTCAAATTAGCGTTGTTGGCATCGAAGGGTGAGTACATTCATTTTAGACCTTTTACGGCCCGGGACCGTCCACTCGCCAACGGTGGATCCAGCGTCAACCGACGAAACAGCTACTTAGTCCAATTTGCTTCCCTGTGAGTAATAGCACTTGCCTCCCGGTAAGTGCTCCATTGATTATTACAATTTTTACGATTGCGCCAATTGTAAATCACACTATTATTGATCTGGGGCAAATGACGACGTTTCATTCGTGGAGGCGAAGCGATGACATGCCCACAGGATCCTCCATATCAGCGGTTAGAAAATCATCGTAACATGGCGCAGTATCAGCACCAAAAGGTATCTCGCACTTGGTGTATAACTTCCGCCTAACACCTCTCCTATTTACTGACTATGCATTTTGCGATTTTGTGTCATTACGTTACATCCAGCGACCATGTGCTTACACGTATAACGTCACCGCATGGCACCAGTCATGAACTGTAACCACCCCACGACTCAACTGTGATTCCTATGGTTGAGGCTGCCTAACATGTGACGCGGCTTGTGACACTCTCTGACCTAACCCAATATTGTCGGCAGTCTTATCCATAGTGGGGTGAGTTAATACTTGGTCAATACATTGTCCGGTACACTCAACTACCTGTCCCGACGGTTATATACTCTTCTAAGTGGATACAACAATTTGCGCTTTTGCCTTTCCTCTCTCATTTGCTGCTAATTGCCATTCAAGTTGACGTGGATCATAGTAACTGCACTGCACCTTTCCGATCAGTGAAACGGCACAAAACTCCCGACCCTAAGAGCCTTCATCCGGCTCTTTTCAGATGGCGGGGATGTACTTGTCAACGAATTACTCTCGCTTTTCAAGAAAGTTTGGAATGATGAGAAGGTCCTCAAAGCATTGGGAGCTTAATCGTCGTTCCGCTTCACAAGAAAGGCCCCCGAGATTTCATTAATTACCGCAGAATCTCGCTGTTCTCAGTTGCTTTTAAGAGTTTTGTGTCCTTCTTAGTCCGCAGGCTTTCCTCCACCAGAGAGTTTCTCCCGGGGAGAACAATCCAGTTTGCACCCAGGCCGAAGTTGCACTGATCAAATCTTTACGCTCCGACAAATTCTCGAGCTCCGCCACGTCCACCATCCACCAACAGTCGTACCGCTCTTGGAGATTTGTGTGGCATTTGTTGCATTTGATATGTTTGTCGCCATTCCGAGGAAACTGTACAGCCACACGTCAAGCAAAATTAGGACTTACGGCAGACTTTCCTCTCCGTTAGTTGTCACCAGAGGCTAAGTTGCTTTAATCCACTTTTTCATTTCAATTTTGCCATCGAGCGATAGAAGGCTTTCAGAATTGCGGTGCAGATTCTCCCTGGCGCCAGAATCGCGGACTTGGACTACGCCGATAACATCGTTTTGCTTGGTGATGAACGGCAACTCGTCCAAAACACCCTGAACCGCTTAGTGACACAACCGTTGCCTGCGAAGGATCGCGCGTGTATGGTGGCAACATCATATAAGAAATACGGAAGTTCATAAACGAGTGCTCAGAGTGAACAAGCTCAACCTTTAAAACGTCGTTTTCCGATAATGCATGCGTTGGCTCGGCTAGGTATTGCGGATGCCAGCCTATCACCTTCCCCTGCGAGCGCTATTTGCGCTTCCCGGAAGCGATTGGAAAAATTGTCGCGGTGCACAACCAATGACGTTTAAAAGAGTATGAAGAAAGCCGCTTCGAGCGTAACTTCGGTCAGAGCAGCGCGCTTCCCAGGTTGGGGACCACGTGACTCGGAATTCCTGTGGTCGCAAACGCAGGATGTGATGGCACGTAACAGACATGAGTGGCGCCAGTCTTGTTATGTCGTTTTACCTGTTGATTACCAGTTGATTAATATATATATATATATATATATATATATATATATATATATATATATATATATATATATATATATATATACACAGTCCCGTTTTGTGACAGTTAATAATGAAGACCGTGGAAACACATGTGCATATGTTGCATTCGAACTGCCATTGGATACAGATGACGGCAATCTATGTATATATGTATACCGAATGAATTCCACGAGGATCTTCATACCGCTTTTGTACGGTTAACTTAGTGCAGTAGAACGACATTCGAGCAAACCGAAAATACTATTACCAGAACATGAAGAAGGTGAGTTTATGACAAACTCATGTTGATTTCAGGTGTTGCGAATCCAAGGCAAATTTGATCGATGCGAATTCCGTGAACTGCTCAAAAGGGCGGTTTCTCAGGTGCCGGAGAAGGCACAATTGTATGCGGAATAGAAGCACCATGAGTATGTTCCCATTCAATTTACTAATCCAGGCCAATAAGGCGGCGTATGTGGTACGTTTGCCTGCGTGATGAGTAATCTTGCATTTCAGAAGTAGATGTTGCTTGAGTTCCCCTGTGCGGATGCGCCTGATGTGAATGTTGACAAGGTGCCTACCTGTCTATTACCCACTACCTCGTCCATACTGTCTCCAGGAGACAGTTGGTCGTCGCTGGAGGGGACGGAGTGCACCGTCCTTGTGACGGTGCTAGGCTCAAAGAGTGGTTCCATGCAATCTGTGTGGAACGGGCTACGGTCCAGCCACCGCCTCGTGTACGTCTGGTGTGTATGGTTTCTCAATTAGGCCGGAATGCTTCCGATCTGCTTGTTGAAGGAGTGTGGGCCGGCTCCGTTGATGAAACGTGGCTCCCATCCGCATGCCTCCCGGTCTTATTCCTTCGGGTTTACACTGGATATGGGGTGTGTGGGTGGAACTATGGGTGGTGCAGCGCAAGCCACCCATGGTCCCCTATGTAGGCGCAGGCGTCCTGTGACTGTCCCCATGGATGTCACAGTGACAGGCAAATCCGGATACGGACGCCGCCAAATCATATATATATATATATATATATATATATATATATATATATATTGCGCAAAGCAAGTGGGAGCACCAAGCGAGTGGTATAGATGTCCGATTGCAAGCGCCCACAAATCGACCACCTGGTGTTGCGCTGATGTTTGTCAAAAGTGGACCACCTGCTTTGATTACACTATGTCCCTCATGTAGCCTTTGGCCGTGTACCTCAGCGTGTACTGTCTGCAATCGCTGTGCAAAGTTGGGTGAAACCGAGGCGGCCAGCCGATAAGATGGTAAGAAGGCACGAAACAACAGAATGAGTAATTTGGTAAAACTGGTACATGTTGTACCGCTGAATGGGGGCCACGAGACTGGAAAAATAAGAAGTTTGGGACTCAATCCGACATGAAGCAGCAGTGGAATCAATGGCACACTTTTAATGAGTTTCAGGCACGGACCCGATTAATTTCACTTGCTTTATAACCCCCGTCTCTTTTTGTTCTACTAGCATTGTACCTCGTTTCCCCTACCACCGTTGATTATTAGTATCAAAGTGACGAAACTTCTGATAAATAGATCTACCGCACTTCCACGGTGGGATGAAACGCGTGTAACTGAACTAAGGTGAATGGATTGGTAGTGACTGAGTACACTGTCATTCATTGTTTGGAACATGGGTAGGGAGGTCGGATTGATTACGGCTGACAACATAGAGTACCTGACAGGTAACGCTGGTGAGATGGTGAGTGGAAAGCAGCCTAATTAGACTAACAAAAAGCAATTGAACCAATACAGCTTACTTGGGCTGGAGCTGTCATTGAATCGGCCTCATCGAGTATAACTAATTTATAGGGAGGTATGTTGTTCGCGGCAGATCTGGCACCACTTGAGACGGCCAAGTGGGCGAAAGCCTTTACTTTCTGTCTTATCACCTCGATACCCCGCTCGTCACTCGCATTCAGCTCAAGCACGCGCTCCGGATATAACGGGCTGTTGAGTAAAACAAAATGCACAAGACGGGTTAGGACAGATTGCGTGCGCAATCGAAGCCTACAACACTATACAACCAATATATGATGAGCAAAGATAACAGCTTCTCGGATAAGTGGTTCGTAAACATGTTGGCACCAATGTGTCACAGTGATAAGCATAGGAATATCCGAACGCCAGAGTTACCAACAACGGGAAAATATTGGAGAGACTATTTTCTGCTAACCAAGACGAGAAAGCTGTGCTACAGAACAGAAAGTATGAGGTACGTGTGAAGACTTAAGTATTGTACTGAGTGTCAGTTATGACATTCTCAAGGTAAACGCACATCCAGACTAAAAGAAAGTTAATAGAGCATAGATAGGTGGTATCTATGGACAGCAGCCACTTCTACAACAACAAATCCAAAAGTAGAAGACAGAGTACTGTGATCAGTCACGCGGATTGAATTGTTTGAATACGCACCTGGCTACGTTATAATCACAAGCAGAACACTGAGGCGCTCAGAGTTCTAGTTGATAAGCGGAAGCGAGGACAGAAACAGACTAAGATCAAAGATATAAACGGGCAGTTTCTAAGAAAAAAAGGTTTGGTACATGAGTGATATAATCGACGCGGAAAGACATATTAACCGAGCTAACACACAAGACGGAACGCTTGAGCAACTTGGTACATAGCGCCGGTTTTTACCAAGTGTGAGGAAACAGAGGAAAAAGTGAATAAACAATGAGACGTAGAAGAAACGCATTTCAGGGAAAATAAACCACATGTGTTTAAATTCAAGTCAGTCCAACTGACCAACAAGTGATTTGCAATCGACAAAACGTTTGGAAGCTTCATGCGAACTCCTTTCTACCGTAATAACAAAGCCGGCACTGGAAAACGGTACTCGACGGCACAAGCGTATCAATAATAACCAAAATAGCCAACAAGTATGGCTAGAAGTCACACGTCGAATAAACTCGTCTCAATGTAATGTGGCTTAAAAGAAGGCGTATACCGGACCAATCGGAAACTGGAACAAAACAATAGGCCGCACAAACGAAATGGTTTCATGTGAGAACATCACCAGTACAGTAGTTGAGGTTACATGCGAGTTAGCTTGAGCACATTGCTTGCACATCAGCGTTCAGACGCCACAAGGGCATTAGACAGTAACATTATACGTCACCGATAACATCGGGCGTTACCACATGAAGCGATAATGAAGTTTGAGGTAGTAAAGTAGGTCAACGTATGCGCGATTGAATGTGAGTCAGCCATATATTCAAGGTACAAAATAAACACGAAATCAAATTAACAATGGAACATAATTTGCATTGAGAGCCGAAGGAAACAAAGAGTGGTTTGGGATTAGGAAAACGGTTGGGTAAATGGTCGTGGTGATCGCAGCCAGCGGAACATCCTGCGAGACGAAACGTATCACAGGACAGGGCATTCGGGACTCTTCTACAAGATCCAAGCACCAGAGTGCGGAGATCCAGCTGACAGAATACACCACTACATGGCAATTGCACCAGTGCGTATAAGAGGACCTATGTTGCTTGATAAAGTTAATTCAATGCTCATAAGGCCATTACTGTATGGATACCATGTTCAAGGCAATATTTTTGTTATAACTGACACTTGGTTACGCCACGCTCTGACGATCTGGTATAAACTCTCCTAGTCGGCCGAACGAATGTGGCTTGGAACTATTTCACGCACGGCAAAGTAACCGACAAAATGCGAAGTTGCACAATCCGTGAGAATTACGCAAAACATGGTTACTACGCGCGAGTTGAACGGGATCCTAAACCGAACGCGATTTCACACGCAGCTACCCAACCCCAGAGAATAAGACAAAAAGACAGGCCTTTTGCGTAGGCACTTTTATCGGTCA